TGAGCTCAGTTTTGGATAGATTGAGTTTTAGGAAGTGGAGTGACATCCAGTCTGATATGTCTGTTAGTAAATCGGTGATACGTGAGGAAACAGATGGGGTGAGCTGATGAGTAGAGAGATAGATTTGTGTGTCATCAGCATAGAAATAGTACTGGAAACGATGGGAAGCTATCAGCTGACCCAAGGAAGAAGTATAGATCGAGAATAGGAAAGGTCCAAGGAGAGAACCTTGGAGGACCCGGACAGTAAGAAGAGTAGGAGAAGAGGAAGAGGAGTTGTACGTGACACTGAAGGTGCGTTGAGATAGGAAAGATTCGAACCAACGGAGAATACTGTCATGGAGACCAAGTAAATAGAGTTTTTTTTGAGGAGGAGGGGTGGTCAACTGTGTCAAAGGCAGCGGAGAGGTCCAAAAATACAGAATAGTGACCATTGGTTTTAACAGTTAGTAAATTGTTTTGTGAGTTTTAGGAGAACAGTTTCTGTGGAATGTTGTGGGCGAAATCAAGACTGAAGGGGATCAAGAAGGTTATTCTCAATAAGATAGCAGCTCAGCCGGTTGTAGACTAGACGTTTAAGGAGTTTGGAGGCAAAAGGGAGTAAGGAGATGGGTCTTAGGTTACTAAGATTGGTGGGGTCCAGTGAGGCCTTTTTAAGTATGGCGGTGACTAGTGCATGTTTTAGAGAGTTAGGGAAGATGCCGGAAGAAAGGGAGAGATTGAAGATATGAGTTAAAGAATGAAGGATAGAACCAAAGGGCGACCGTAGTATTTGCAAAGGAACAGGGTCCAGGGGGCAGGTGGTTAGGTGGGCTTTAGAAAAATGTTTGCCACCTTCCTCTATAGTAGCTGGGTCAAACAAGGGAATTATAGATTGTGCAGGTGGACAAGGAGTGTAATGTACAAGAAGTGGTAAAAAGCGCCTTAGTAAAAATCAACAAGCTGCTATGCACAAGATAGGTACCAATGACCTATGGAATAGACAATATATACGAAAGGTGCAGCGCTAGTAAACAATATATAATATATATGCAAAAAGTCCCTGGTGGATCAAAAGATATAGGATATGGGGTAGTCCCGTAAATAAATATAGATGGTTGAGGTGACTTTGATATCTGGGTAGAGGTGGTAATGAAATGCGCACTCACCGGACGCGCATATTAAATGCGCCTTGTATATAGTTATCCTGCTGCCAGGTGATGGGTGGTCCTCCCTCTATAGGTCCTAGGTAGGTTGTCCTTCTCCTCCAGAGATCCCCCTATATATGGTCCTAGTGGATGCTGTCACTCCAAATGGCCTGGGTGGTGAGTAGTGATCCGCTCTTGGAGTAGGTCTGTGGACTAGAGTACTGCCCCAGGGGGCGACAAGAACACTCCCATAGTGTAATAAGTTTAAACCCAAAATTTATTAGATATGGTGTATCAGGTAAAAATAGTGTAACAGATAAAACAGCGTTGCAGACAGTAGTCTGTAAAGGAACTGACCAGCTGGTATAAAAGATGGCCACCGGAGCTCCACGTTACTCCGGCGGTGTGACGTCACGGCGTGGTGTGGCTCCTCCTGACGCGTATCGTGCTCAAGCACGTCTTCAGAGTGTTCTTGGGAAGGGAGTGTTCTTGTCGCCCCCTGGGGGAGTACTCTAGTCCACAGACCTACTCCAAGAGCGGATCACTACTCACCACCCAGGACATTTGGAGTGACAGCATCCACTAGGACCATATATAGGGGGATCTCTGGAGGAGAAGGACAACCTACCTAGGACCCTATAGAGGGAGGACCACCCATCACCTGGCAGCAGGATAACTATATACAAGGCGCATTTAATATGCGCGTCCGGTGAGTGCGCATTTCATTACCACCTCTACCCGGATATCAAAGTCACCTCAACCATCTATATTTATTTACGGGACTACCCCATATCCTATATCTTTTGATCCACCAGGGACTTTTTGCATATATATTATATATTGTTTACTAGCTCTGCACCTTTCGTATATATATGGACAAGGAGTGTAGGGTGAGGGAGATATCTCTACCGCTGTAGTGGTCAGGGCCAAATCCTGTGTGTAGTGAACTATTGTAGACAAGTGGCCAGGACAGGGCTTAGATTTTGTCATAGAAACAATCTGTTGCCGAAAAAAGAAGAGAAGGATTAAGATAGCAAAGGTTTCTATGGGTAACTGTTTGGTAGTTGGAAGACAAGGAGGAGGAAGCCAAGGAGAGAGTGAAGCTAATATGGGAATGATCAGAGAGAGGAAAAGGAAAGTTGGTGAGGTTGCAAGGAGTGCATAGGTAGGAGAATACAAGGTCGAGGCAGTTACCATTAGAGTGAGTAGAAGCATGCGTCCATTGTTTTAGGTCACAAATAGTGGTTAGGCTCAGAAGTTTAGAGGTAGCAGGAGTATTAAGATTAACAGGGATGTTCAAGTCACCAAAAATGATTGTGGGAATTTCAGAAGAGGGAAAGTAAGGAAGCTTGATACCGGTCCAGGAGGCTGGTAGATCACATCAATTCTTAAAGAAACTGGAGAGAACAGACGAATACAGTGAACTTCAAATGAGCAGAGGGACAGTGAGGGAAGTGAATGAAGAACCTGAAAAGTGCTTTGAGGGGATAGGAGGATTCCAAATCCACCTCCTTTACATCCACTAGGCTTGACGTGGTGTGGGAATTCCCTTAAAATCCATATAAGACCTAAGGGTTTGGTATGTAGTTGGGGGTGAACTCCCTGTCAATTTTTGGCTTGGGGTTCCCCTTAAAATCCATACTAAGCCTGAAGGGCCTGATATGGATTAATGGATTGAGGGGTAACCCCCCCCCCCACAGTTTTTTTTTTAATGCCAGCATCCTTTTGTTTACATTTAGCTGTCAGAGGGGAATCCCCCTGACAGATGATGAGTCATCCATTGTTAAGGACACAGCAGCATTTGAGATAATTTTAATTGTAAATGAAACTGTACAAATTAAACATTTTCAGTTTTCACTCAAAAATAGATTAAGAACCCTTTCACATTGGCAGACTCTACCAAGTGGATCTGCCTGCATAGTGGGAGATCTGTCTGCTGATCCCTCGCTGAGCAGGCAGATGACAGGTCCATGTCCGTTTTTATGCACTGCAGACACAGACCGCTTTCCTCTATGGGTGGGCGGATGCAAATGGACCGCCTGTCTGTTTACATCCAACTGTCATAAGATCCAATCCGTTATTCAGATGGGAAACGAATCCTCCGTCTGTCTGTTTTTAGTGGATCACATCAGGGGCAGACTGACAACTCATGGGGCCCCCGGGCAATAGGGGATCATGGGGCACCTGTGTCCTTGCCAAAACTCAAAAAAGCCTATGAAAAAGGTACCAGGGGCATCTCATGGGGCCCCCTACTGACCCTGGGCCCTCGGGCAGTGCCCAAGTTTCCAAATGGTCAGTCCGCCCCTGGATCACATGCAGGCAAGTTTAATTGGACAGGAACATTCGTGTGAAAGGGGCCTTAGCATCACCTTTCAAAGTTTCAGGAAGGAAATGTTATACGTTATGAGCCACATATTATTCGAATCTTAATCATTTTAAGCGTTGGAACTTTGGAATCTTCATTTCTGCCGCCGTACATAACTAAATATGGCAGCATGCATATCCTGGTTCCTCAGGCTGTATATGATGGGATTGAACAATGGTGTTACTACAGTAAATATAACTGATAACAATTTGTTGATGGCTACAGAATGTCCTCTTACTGGAGTAAAATAATTTATTAGCACAGCTCCATAAAACATCCCCACCACCAAAAGATGAGTGCTACAGGTAGAGAAAGCTTTCTTCCTGCTGCCCATAGATGGCATTTTAAGGATGGCTACAGAAATACACACATAACTTACAACCGTTAATAGAAACGGAATAGCAACACTGGGGACAGATAGAACAAATATATCAATTTGCAAACCGGAAGTATCTGAACAAGCGATATCAATAAAAGGAGCAAGGTCACAGAAGTAATGGTCAATAATATGCTGATCACAGAACTTGAGCAAAGCCACAAAACTCAGTGTGACCAATGTCAAAAGAAAACCTAACATCCAGCAAAAGATAATCAGGAAATATTGAAGAGCTTGGCCCATTATTGTGTTGTAGTGTAAAGGTTTACATATGGCCAAGTATCGGTCATAAGACATTGCAGTGAGAAGGTAACATTCAGTAGTACCTGAAGATACAAACAAGTAGCTCTGAATGATACATCCAGGGATAGATACATTGGCTCCATCCATCCATATGATATGTAACATATTGGGTACAATAACAATCACTAAACACATTTCTGAAAATAAGAAATTCTTGAGGAACAAGTACATGGGGGATTGGAGGCTTTTTCTGGTTGACACTAATATAATAATCATGGTATCAAGAAACACTGTCAGAGTAAATGCAGATAAAATGAGTATGAAGAGTAGAAATCTGAATCCACCAAGGCCAGGGAAACCCAGAAAAAAGAATTCATTCACTGTTGTCACATTTTCATTTTTCATATTCATCTTTTTGGCTAAAAAGACATAAAAATAAACATCTAAACTACTTCTTGGTTTTCACCAAAATTGATTCTAAATTTCCTAACACATACTGTATTATGCTATAGGCAGGGCTGGTTTTGTTCTACCACCCTACTACCTAGGTTGACTTGTTACCCTTAACATCACTCTATCAAGGGCAAATGTCATGACCACAAAAGGCATTAAACATTGGAACATGTTACTTGCAGACAGCATTAAGATGTGCAAATAGGTTTGTACCAGCATTATCAGCCCTCTCACTTACAAACCTCCAGCCCTGGCTAAGACTAGATTGGTTCAATACATGCCATTTTTTACATACAGAGGTATAATACAATAAATAAAGTGCAGCGCTTAAAAAGTTCCAAATAATCATAAGAAAACAGTGAAAAATGTGTCCAAAAAAATAGTCCATCCAAAAATAAAAGAAAAGAAAGTCCCAGAGGCTGTGATGAAACAAAAGAAATCCAAGGACAGTTGTCCTGTCACCAACCACTCATACGGAAGGCTTACCAGAAAGGCATGTTTTCCGCTATGAGTCCAAGCCTTATCCTGAATGGTTTAGCGACCAGGGGCGGACTGAAAACTCATGGGGCCCCCGGGCAATAGGGGATCATGGGGCCCCTGTGTCCATGCCCAAACTCAAAAGAGCCTATGAAAAAGGTACCAGGGGCATCTCATGGGGCCCTCTACTGACCCCGGGCCCTCGGGCAGTGCCCGAGTTTCCAAATGGTCAGTCCACCCTGTTAGCGACCCTAATTAAGGTCCACTGTTTGGAAGATCCTTATCTGCTCATTTGGTGATCTGGAGGAGGATTCGAGTGACCGGCTTTCTGGACTGTTTAACAAAGCGTGACTGACCACTCTTAACAGGGGGTCATGCCTTTCTGGTAAGCCTTCTGTAGTAGTGGTTGGTGACACCACAACTGTCCTTGGATTTCTTTTGTTTCATCACAGCCTCTGGGACTTTTCTTTTCTTTTTTTTTTGGATGGACTGGTTTTTTGGACACGTTCCACTGTTTTCTTTCTTATGATTTTTTGTAACTTTTTAAGCACTGCACTTTTATGTATTTATTGTTGATTGCCCTGTATCAGGGTTTTTGTGTTCAGCTGCTATATGTTTTTACACCTCATTTGTGATGATTGATTATCTATTGTAGTTCTTATTAGCACAGGTTTATATATATATATATATATATATATATCCTTTTTAGAGGTATAATACAATAAAACAACCTAAAAAAAAATCCTTGAAATATTGTACTTTTTTAAGCAAAAAATACCATCTTCTCTGTTGTAGTTGATGAAGGTCTTACTTTAGTGGAGTGTATCCTGATTGGTATTTGAGGGTTAATGAAATTCATAATGAACACGTAAGATGAAGAACTCTTTGTTAAACTGTTTATTGAGTAAGGTTTAAACTCTTTTATTTGTGGCTCCCATTCGTGATTTTGTGACACATTTTTTGATACATTTTAAATCCATTTGAATCTGTAGCCTTTACTCTGATGCTACCATGCCATAGCTACTTACCAACCCATCACAGTAGATATACTCCGGCGGGTTAGCTCTTACAGGCACATTGACTTACCTGTAGGTCGCTGCTTGTTTTCAGGTGCAGGGCGTGGGCTTGCCCCCTCCCGCCTACTAAGCTGTGATTTGACACAGCAGGAGCTCGTCAGCAGAACACGCCCAATGATTCATGGCTGGGAACTGCTGATCGGCTGTGTTAGGCTTCATGTACACGAGCAACTGCTAAACTCAAGTTTAGGAGCTTCTGACATTTTTTGGCCAAAGCTCCTAAACTCAACTCCATAAAAGCCTATGTGTGCAAAGGCTTTTAGCAGTTTAACCTCCCTAGCGATCTGATTATGTCCATATTTCTCTGCTCAAAGCGGTACATTTTTTTGCATGGAAATATGTATTTTTTTTATTGTAGGCCTGTAATTCTTAGGAATAACTCACTGAAATCTGTCTGAACAAGAGTCTAGTAAACATCCCGGGTATGATAAAATTTGAAACACGAAATCATAAATTATAATTTAATAAATAATACTAAAAAATCATAATATAATAATAATAAATTTAATTCAATAATATAATTAAACCAAAAACACTGAAATGTGAAATATAGCGCCAAGTTCGCACATCGCTGAGCTCAGTCGCGGAATCATTTTCAGTGTCTGATGAGGAATTTCCCCTACGAATCATTATCACTCAATTCTGCAAGTGGTTCTGATTTACTATCGCTGTTCTCTAGCCGGTCTAAAACCGCTTTTGACCTAAAGGGATGCTTTTTGGACGCCATGGACGTTTCTCAGTTTCCAGGCAGAAAGAACAGTAAAAATGCAGGCAGGGCGCCGGACAAAGCACTCGGGACACAATGTATGTGAAATGGTTTGATACAGGAATGTTATACTATGTGATTTTAGTGTATTTAGTAAATGTCACTTTTAAAATTTTCAATTTTCCCGCCGCTCCGTCCCCCGTACGTCCTGACGTCGCAGGGAACGGAACCCGGAAGACAGATGCTGGCATCGGCCGGAGGAGATGGCCGGGGACACTGCAGGGGGGATAACGCGGGAGCGCAGGACAAGGTAAGTGCAGAAGAGATCCCGGAGCAACGCTGCAGTGTATTCCCGAGTGTAGCTCGGGGGGGTTACCGCTTGTGCTGAAACTTTACCCCGAGCTACACTCGGGAATACCGCCAGGGGGGCTAAGAGCTGCTGCATTTATGTGAGGTTAAACCTCCCTCTCCTGAATGTGAAAGAATCGCGTTCAGAATAGAAACATTTTGACCGCCGACCATGGGAAAACGCAAAAGCAGTAAAAACATGACAAAATGCGGCAACCACAGTACCGCGTTTTTGTTGCGATTTGTGTTTCCCAGCAGTCAGCCTCTTGATTGCCCCTAGATGTTAATCCCTTTCCAGACTGTGTCATTAGTACAGGAGCAGTGTATATTATTAGACTTCATCACTGCATTAGTGTCACTGGAGATGTCAGTGTAATCTAGTCAGTTCCCAAAAAATGTCAGTTAGTGTCAGATTGCCCACCATACTATCACAGTTCCATTATAAGTCACTGGTCACCATAAAAAAACTTTTAAAAAATTAAATAAAAATTCCTATATATATATATATATATATATATATATATATATATATACACACTATATATATACACCATTGTTTGTAAATGCTAATAACTTTCACCAATTAATTTTATTTCTATTTTTTATTTAATATATTTTATAGCAGAAAGTAAGAAATATTGTTTTTTTCTTCAAATTGGTCTTTTTATATAATTAAAAAAACCCTGTGGTAATCAAATACCACTAAAAGAAAGCTCTATTTGTGTGAAAAATAATTATATAAATTTAATTTGGGTACAGTGTTGCATGACCATGCAACTGCCAGTTATAGTAGCACAGTGCCGAATAGCAAAAAAACAGCCTAGTCATAAAGGGGGGTAAATCTTCTGTAGCTCAAGTGGTTAAAGGAGTCATTTCACCCAGACCTGCATTCACTTCACATATCCAGTTAGGGCCACAGAAATTAGAGAAAGGAAATGTTTTTGAAAGCAAACCAATAATTTAGAGTAACACTTGCTTTGGATGGAGCAGGGAAGGATTAGCAACCCTGTGAGAATTTTACTGCTACCTGTTCGAATACTGCAATACCAAAGATATTGCATTATTTGACCACCACACCTCTATTTTCTATACCCCATACATATTACTATTTCCTTGGTTTTCCAAAGGAAGGCCAAATACTGTTGCTACTTTTCAGGTGTAATAAATGTCATCACACAAAATAATAAAAAAAAACATCAATTCTTTATTTATATCGAACCAAATAATAGCCAATTATTAACATGGAGGAAATGTAAGCCTCCTGCATCATTAACCTCTTCATGCCGGAGCCTCCCGGCCTTTTAGGAGTTTCAGAAGCCGGGAGGTGGGCGGGGTTTTAGGGTCATGTGACCACCGTGATTTGCTTTCACGGCGGTCACATGATTGGAAAAGCTCCCGATCGCAAGGGGAGATCGGGACCTTTCCGTGAGTCACGGACATATGTGCTGGGAGCGCGCAGGGCGAGCGCTTTCAGCACATATGTATTTTCTAATGGCACGCAAATATGCGACCACTCGGCGTCAAGGCCCATTTGAGTGCTATCGGTGTCAAGGGGTTAAAAACCCATTAAGTACATATTATACATGACAAGCATAACATACTGTATAGTACTGTTGGAACCAGGGGCAGACCGACAATTTGGAAACTCGGGCACTGCCCGAGGGTCCGGGGTCAGTAGGGGGCCCCATGAGATGCCCCCGGTACCTTTTTCATAGGCTTTTTTGAGTTTGGCCAAGGACACAGGGGACCCATGTTCCCCTATTGCCCGGGGGCCCCATGAGTTGTCAGTCCACCCCTGGTTGGAACATCCCTTTCAGATCCCTCTACAACCTATATACAAAGTATATCAATATTCACCACCCCTGAATGGGCAACAAATATTTGGATTGTCTCCAAACTGAACTGGAATGATTTCAATGATACTCTGTGGGTGGAGTTTCAGACTCAACGCGTTTCACTTATGTGCTTCTTTGGGAAAATGATGTTCCCAGACATGCTGGGTCCTGATATGCTTTGATTTGTATAGCCACAACCACCATACACAATCCCATCAAATGAGTTAAAAATGGGTTCTCAAGCAGCGGTGGGGAATATGTGAAGTCAGCCTATG